GCGCAGATGAAGCAGCGGACTCAACATGGGTAATATCTCTGATGTAATATCCCCTGCGTCATGATGAGGTCAACCCGCAGTCAACGATAAGCTAGGGTGTACAGCCCTAGTTTCTTATATCGGTCCGTACAGCATACCTCGTAAGTTGGGAATCAGCCTCTTGGCTTCATGGTGCACTCGCCCCGGGTGATATGACCATACGCAGGTGAGCCATACTCTAGCATTTGTCGTATAATTGAGACGAAGAGGCGGATGGCAATCTCTTTGGACGAAGTGCTGACGTTGCGCCTGAGCGCCCAAAGCATACGAAGGCTGTTTTGGTAAAGCCTATTCGTGTTGTCCATGAACTTTAGGTCGTAGCGTTAGAGTACCCCGAGGTCTTTCACGAAGGTCGCGGGATGCAGTGATTGACCGGCCACCGTGTAGGTTCCACTGTGCTCACACTTACCCAGCCTCATGACTTGTGACTTGACTTTGTTGATCGGAAGGTTGACTTCTGCAAACCACGTGGAGAGACGGTCGAGGTCCTGCTGAAGCAGGTCACAATCATTGGGTGTGCGGTTTACTCTCCACACCTTCAACTCATCCGAGAACAACACACAAGGTGATTGGAGTAGCTGAGGCACATCGTCTACATGGATCAGAAACAAAATCGGCCCCAGTACAGTGCCTTGGGGGACGCCACTGCTCGATGGATACCAGTCGGTTAAATGGTTGTCCACCTGGATCCTCCACTTTGGAACAACAAGGAAATTCTTGATCCGTCGAGGCAGCGAGCCGCCAACACCGCACACCGTCATCCTGTCGAGGAGCACTGCATGATTTGCCTTGTCAAAAGCCTTACTGAAGCCAATGTAAATGACGTCGACTGATTTGCGTCGGTTCAGCGCTTGTAACCATCCATGCCTTGTCAACAGTAGGTTGGTGATGCACGAGCGCTTTAATCGTTTGTCGCCACGTGATAGGCTGGCCATCGCGCGATTTCTTCCAGCCTGGTCCTTCGCGAGCGTAAAAGCGCTTCGGGGCAGCCGTTCGCATGGCATGCATACAACGTGGCCCAGCCATCTCAGTTGACACAGCGGTACCAGTCTGTCAAGTGGAAGCCCCGTGTTATCCGAGACGCGACGTCTAACATCATCGTTGCGCACGTGGTTCATCCACCACACTCGGGCTATTCTCCGCGGAAATCGACTGTCAAATGCCGAACTCCGACGCAAGTCATTTACACGAATTGGCCAGGACTCACTCCCATATAGCAACACTGCGCGAGCACAGGCATTGTAGACCCTGCCTTTTACCAATAGTGAAACGTCACGGCATCGCCGCAGATGCCTCAAGTTGGCGACTGCCGACCGGGCCTTAGCAATGCGGAGGGAAATTTCCTTTCCAATGCTACCGTTATCAGGAACACAGCTTCCCAGGTAAACTATCTACTTGTTCAAACTGCGTACCTTGAAAAGTGAGCACTGGGGCAGGTGGATTCCAATCCAGGACCAGGACTTTGTATTTCATAGGGGCAAAGGTCATTCCATATTATGCTGCTCCAATCGCCAAACGGTTTAGAACGGCTTGTGTGCTCTTTGCGTCATCATCAAGCAAGGCAATATCATCAGCATAAGCTAAATCGGTCACGCGGTTGCCAGGAAGAAGCTCCACACCAGAACCCTGAAAGCCCTCGAGAGCGTTTAAAAGGACATCCTCGATCACAAAATTGAAGCGAAATGGGGACATGGGCAACCCTGTCGTACACCGCTAGTGACGGTAAAAGCTGAAGATAGGTTACCATAAGCCCTTACTTTACCTGAGACATTGCAAGATAATGCTCAAAGGATGGCGATATACTTTTCGGGTACTCCATTCCTTTGTAAGCAACGCCATAAAGCTGGCCAATCGACGGAGTCGTAAGCAGCTCGGATGTCCAGAAAAACAGCGAAAGTGGGCTGGCAGTAAAGATGACGTGTTTCAATTAGTTGGCGGGGCGTAAACAAGTGGTCTATACACCCTCGACCGGGGCGAAAACCAACCTGTTCTTCACGGGAGCGCAATTCTCATATCAGTGGACTTAGGCACGTGAGAAAACATCAGCTTTGATCTCATCTTATCACTTGAAACCTTTCCTGCTGGAGGGGGTGGTTACGAGCCTTGCTTGACTTGGCTTGTTGTTGATCAGCAGCGGAAAGCTCTTCGTTTCACGGCTTCTGTCGTTTCGTTTTGTATGGCTCCTTAACCACTGGACATTCATCTGGTTCTGTAGAGCTAGCGAAGTGCAAAGCCAGTGGATCATTGGCGGTAGTTTGTGTCATGTTTCTGGAAACATTAGGTTGGTGACGCAATGTATTGTCGGAGTAGAGAATCGAAGGAAGGTGGAGTTGATCCTCGAATAGAAACTAAGCCAGTTTGCTTGGTACTATGTCTAGAACTGCCCACAACTAAAGATTTTTGGCTGTGATCTGCCTCGATAGACTTAACACGTTGGGAGAACATTGCACCAAATGTGGATGAAATCATGTTGAACGGGACACAGGAGACGATAGGAATCGGCAGGTAATTCAACACTCGAAACATGAAATCTGACATCACAATCATAGGACGTACGAGTCGGTACGAGTCGTGCGTATGAATGGACGATGATTGGTCTAGACGTTTGTTCAAACAGGTAAGTCAATGTTTAGACAAGTTATTTCGCTGCTGTGTTGTTCACCCAGGCCTACTTATGTCCGAACATATGTATGAACCAACCACCGTCTATTGTTTTGTATTTTAACGTTACCTCACTTGTACCAACCTGTAATAATTAAGAATTAGGCTTAGCAACTTTATATATACATATATATATATAATCCTAATTAATTAATTTTAGTAACTGCCTATTTTATCCGTCGTCTTTCGTAGATTGGTTATGTCGTAGCGCTCCAGTATCTTATTTTCGGTCAACTGAGATCCCATTTTGTTTTTGGGCTCCGTTGTCATGCTTTCGTTACCGGTTGATTAGCTTTCTGCCCTGTTTCCGAGAGCAGCCACAACGTTTTGTTCATCTTGAACACCTGTCTTTCACTGTCTGCAGGTGACGTGTTGCAAATATGCCCTACTAGTGCATTACAGCCGTCCGCTACTTCTCCTATTGCTTGTGTCATTGGTTTTCGGGATACGGCGGTAATTGCCATTATTCTTATCTAGGTAGATCGACTAAGACTGCTGGCATTTTGAGCATCACAAGTCAGAATACATAGCAAACGAATAAGAGCTTACATGGGCTAGACAAGAGAACATGATGGAATTACCGCAAAGTATGGGTGCGGCAATTCTAGCTTAGTCAGAGGTGCGTTTTCATTGGCCGATCTACGACGTTTCTGATTGGTCAACTGTGGTGTGGAGATGCACAATTTTTTCTCTGTCTCAATAGGACAGTTTACACCCGTGTTACTTTAATGCCTTCTTCTGAACAGTTATGTGGCTATATAGAAGCAAATAAGTAAGGTTCTATTTAAGGGCCCTCCATGCACGACCACGTAGGCTCTTGGTAATTGCTGCTCAGCGTGGATCATTGAGTCGCAGGGGCACAGAGTACGTTCGACCCTACTGAACGGATGCGAAACCTGGCCCTTAAGATCGGCAGACATGAAGAGGCTAGTTACGTTCGACCATCGGTGCCTTCGCAGTTTGGCTCACATCTGGTGGGAACACCGCGTGAGTAACGAGCGTGTTCGACGCCTTGTTTACGGCACAGGAAAAGGAAATGAATTGCTCAGCACCGTTATTTTACGCACCAGGCTCCGATGGCTCGGCCACGTGTTACGCATGCCAGCCCACCGACTCCCTCGACGTGCGTTGTTTGCTCACCGGGGATGTGGATGGAAGAAGAGGAGGGGTGGCCAAGCGATGACTTGGTCGAGCGGAATGAAGTCCCTCACTTCGGAGCTAGCCTCCGTTGTAGCGTCACGGCTCCCTGGTTGGGACCCAAAAGACGGTGAACACGTTTGGCTAGATACACTTGCTGACATGGCAAGGAGCCGACCTCAGTGGCGTTCCTGCTGTGAGTTTCTTTGTCCCTCCCCATCGCTTTTAGCCTCCCCCTCCAATTACGATCTCATTTCGTAGCGCAAAATATAATAATTTTTTAAAAGTTTTGCCTAGTAGCCGGCTGGTAGCTTACCCGAACGATGCCTATTCGTTGCTGGTAGCTCAGCTGGCATGCAACTGTTGTATTTATTTTTCCATTTTCCTTTAAGTGCTGTATGTATGTATGTATTTCCTTTATGTATTGCGGCACAATAGCGGAGGCGTTTCCCACCTCTAGCTGACGTGTTTAATGAATGAATGATGAGGGGCACAGAGCCCATCACACCACGTTATTTCGCACTTTCATCTCTAAGATCTGCACCAAAGTTGTTCTCTGCGCTTAATCATTGTCCGTGTATGCGTGATTGCAATACGAATCATGTTTTTTGGTTTATGAAACGTTTTTCCTTCACACTTTCCTCCGGTGTAGCCACTCGCGTGTAGTTTATGAACTTGTGGACTCTCGACTGTTTCGTCTGACTATTTGAGTTCCTGTACATTCGAGTTGAATCGTCATCACCACCATTATTTTGACGGCATGTTTCAGGGCCACTGGCTCCACCGCACTCCCGTAGGCGCATCATGCTGAATACGGTGAAATGGGCAAAAGGTATGGGCTGGCACTGGATATTCCATTCTTATGCTTACTGCCCAAGCAAGCCCGTCCGATAGGCAGGGTTTCGCATGCTACCTGTGGCATGCACTTCCAGCTTATTTACCTCACTTATGAACTTTCCTATGTCTATTTTTCCTATTGAGATGTGCAGCGTGAACCTTTTGATTCAGCAGCTACGCGGACATTGTGAACTGTTTGAAAACATGCATACACTTTGAAGGACTTTTCTAGCCGTGCATTTAGAGTGTTCTGACCTTTTCTATCACGTCACATGCCCACTTTTGTTTTGAACCAATTCATGCTAGATTGTTAACCTCCACTTCAGAGTAACTACACCTCCGGCCGCCAATATGCCCTGTGCCCGATCAGCGCTGGCACCCGCTTTCCGATTTTCTTCGGCTGTGTTGTCTACAGCTTCCCACTCTAGCGATATGAAGCGATTGCAGAGCTCCTTAGTCTCTCCGTCTTCGGTATTGAACACATCAAAGGAAGGTGACAAAGAAAATATGATTGTTCCATCCGTCCAACAACAACAAAGTCTGACGCACGACGAAGATCCTTTCGATATATTTGTTACCCCACCTCTCCTCAAGGAAAGACTTGCCAGATTACAACAAACGTCCTAGCTACCAATCAGACCGCATTGTACTCCGAAACTTTCTTACTCCACTTTTATAATTTCCTTTATTGTATCTTTATTTTTCTGCTAAATGTATATGTACGAACCGGCCCATGTGTCCTATTTAAATGTGCTGCGCATTACAAATTATCTCCTCATTTATGTGGCTTAAGCATCTTTGAACCGAGTTCGCAATCCCAGTCGCTGTCATACTCTAGCATGCTGATAGTTCGTCTGTCCGCTTTGAACAGCACCTACCTGAATGGAATCGCTCTTCTCAATGGCATTACGAGTTGTCGATTTATTTGACCACTTTATGTTACTCGTCATATCGCCTCCATAATTTGACGGCACCTTACTGTAATAATATACCCAAACATTGGGATTTCGTCCTCTACCGAAACATCTTCCTCCACTCCACTCTCCCTTGCGGTTTCTGGCGGGCTCATGAGTTTCTTGTCTGATAGAAGTTGTTAGCAAATACACACAAGCCTTATATATATATATATATATATATATATATATATATATATATATATATATATAATGTGCAACAGGTTGACGTTGCATACACCAAGTTGTTCGCTTCATTTGTGCTAAACCGACTTGGTCCAATTTTGTTCTTATTTTTTGTGTTCTATATCTCTCCCATGTTCATCGCCTCCAGTTATTGCCGCTGTACTTTAAATCAGCGCACTTTTACACTGTTTTCTAATCTTTTATTTACCGTTTCCGTTATTGACCCAGAATATCTTTTGGCTCACTTGTTAACCACAACACGATCCACCAACATTTTGCAACTAACGGTTGGTCCACATCAAATTACAATGATTTCGTCACTCGCTCAGTTAGGAGTGGGAGCGTGTGCGACAGCGGAGATTTGTCCACTTAAATCACTAAGGGTACGGACATTTATGTCTGCGCCAGTTATCCTATCCATATTGCCGGAGACCCTGAACATCATCTTCAACACACATCATTGTAGCCACGTAAGGACCAATGACGATATCCACGCTAGCGCGACCCTCACCTCACTCGTGGGTGGTATACGGTCACATGACGTCCGGCCAAATGTACGGTCATTGACCCATCTCACAAACTGTTCGATTGAGGATTGCCGTGTCTTGCTACCCATCTATTCACCGTCTCCACATCCAATCAAACCAAACTCCTGCTCCTTATTTGGCGTTCTGTGAATACCCGGAGTGACATCAACTTATTGACCAAATTGCATTAGCTGTACCCACGGACGTCGCGGATTTTTGATTCAGCGTGTGCTGGATACTACTTTTGCCTCAGATTACTGTGTTATCAGCGTTTTATCTGTGTGAATTGTGCACCAATATTCTTCCTTTGGCGTATTTTCCGAGCGGTACAAATTTGGTGACCATTCTTTGGCTACTTCCGGAAATTTCATTGATTTGCTCTACTGCCACCCCTGTCCGCCATCTTGGATTTGCTCTAGCTTGTGATGCCGTCTCAAGCTACTTGTGGTTCGTGTTCGAAAGCTGTGGGAAATAAGGCTCATGCACTTCGGTGCTTCGGCTATGATGTTTTGTTCCATGTTTCGTGCATTGGCTTATCCGTTGACGTGTTTCGAAAATCGCTCGACATCCGACATCGTTTTTTTCAAGTTCTATGTGATAAATGTCGCGGTACAAGACATCAGAATAAGCAGAGACCGCAAAGAACTACGGGAAAATCTCTCTTTCAGATTGAAACAAACCGTTCACCACGTGGGGGCAAACGCCCTCGTGATAGTACCTCTGTCACCTCGCCTTCAATTGTCACTCCGCGATCTGCACCACCATCAGCGTCTTCGACCCCCGGCCGAGCCCCAGGTTCATTGTTCCCCACCGATGGAAGACTCAGACTCGGAAGCTACGACATGCCGCTTCACTGATCGGTCGGTGAATTTCTCAGAGGCTGTCTGTGAACTTCTGAACACCAAGGATCCATGGACTACTCAAAAGCACAAGGGCCCACGTACTCGAGTTCAGACGTCACCTGCTGATAAACAACCCAATCAGTTAAGCGCCTCTAGTTCTGCTCCCACAGGTTCATCACTGATTTCGTTGAGGCGTCATAATCTCATGATCTTCCGCGTACCAGAGCTAAAAGATGAAAACCCTCAGATACGTTATGATCACGATGTTGAGTTCCTCCAGGGGCTCATCGACAGACTCTTGGATGTGGGCGAAGACAGTGTGACGATTAAACAAGTAATCCGACTTGGCCAGAAAACTAACCAGTCATGTCGACCTCTGAGAATCACCTTTGCAAATCCCAGTATGCCGCAGCTCATACTGTCCCGTCTGTCAAGGCCGAAAGGCATAAAAGTTCACATCCGCCGAGACTTGGAACCCGAAGACAGGGATCGTTTGAAGACTGCGGTCATTGAGCTCAAACGCCGTACAGAGAGAGGTGAGACTGACTTACAAATTGTAAATTTTCGGGTGATCAAGAAGGGTGTACGAACCCTTATCAACCGGTTGCTCAACCTCCAGGCACGTCTCGCAGTACCTCCCAATACCTCCGTGTGGCATTCACCAACGTGTGCAGCCTAATGAACAAACGTGACGAACTGTGCTGCTTCGTTGTCTCGGAGCGGCCGGACGTTTTAGGACTTGCAGAGACTTGGCTGAACTCCGACGTCATACCCAAGAAGTCGTGTTGTCAGGATACTCTTGTTTCCGATGCGACCAAAAATCAAAGGCTCACGGTGGTGTTCTGTGGTACATAAAATCGTCACTATCTGGCAAACTTACCAGCACCTATCGGAGCGAGGATAGTTTATGCGAGCAATTGTGGTGCACAATCCGCCTCAGGTGCACAGAACTAATAGTGGGGGTTATCTACCGGAGCCCATTAAACCGTTGTTGCGATTGGCTACCACATGTACAGAAGCACATGAGCCGCTCTCACTTCTTACTGATGGGGGATCTAAATTTACCTAAGATATTTTGGCCAGATGTTCGACTTCTTCCCGGTCATGACAACATTGAGGCACAATTCGCTAAAATGGCTACTGAAATCAGGGCAACGCAACATGTCATCCAACCGACGCGCGTAACTCCGCACTCGGCATCTTGTCTGGACCTAATGTTTACGAGCTGCGAGCAGAAGCTGAACGAGATCAGAGTCATCGAACCTCTGGCGAACAGTGATCACTGCTCCATTGGGGCAAGCTTAGAACTGTCGTTACCATGTTACAATCAACGGAAGCTGACATTCAACTATTGGAAGACGGACTTCAACGGGCTTGTCAAAGCTGCAAGTCAGACTGATTGGACACTACTACAGGATGCGTCACTTGAGGCCTGTTGGTCATTAATGAAGGGGAAGCTTAACTCGCTCTGTACTCGGTTCGTTTCCCTTATGTATTCAAAAATTGGACCTGTCAAACCGCATTGGTTTGATACGGAATATAGACAGTTAGCGCGACGGCGTCGCAAACTTTGGGATAGATACATCAGCTCGGGTTGTGATGAAGATTACACGGTGTACAAGAAACAGCGTAATTTATGTAACGCCGCAAAGATCCAGAAACGCCGGCAGTTCGAAGAGGAGCTAGCATCCTCGGCCACAACTACACCCAAAAGAATATTTGCCTACTTGAAACGTAAACTGAAACCTGCGGGCGACCTACCGGTCTTAGAGAGCTTAGACGGAAAGACGCTCATTTCAAGCGCGGAGCGTGCAGACGCCTTGGCTACGCACTTCCTCACTGTATTTTCCAGTAAACCGGCGGCGGTTTCAGTACCGGCACAGGTTGCGCTAGTCTTGCTCAACAGCCTACAATGTGATGCAGTCGAAGTGTGTCATCTAATCCTCAACCTCGATGGTGCAAAGCCCCCTCCCCGGACCAGACGAACTTCACCCACTAATACTCAAGTCCCTATCTATTATCATCTTACCATCCGTGACAAACGTTTTCAGCAAATCGCTCTCTGAAGGATCTGTCCCGAACGACTGCAAATGCTTGATAGTGAGACCGCTTCCGAAGGGTGGTGATCCGAGTAAACTAGAAAACTATAGACCGATCTGTTTGACTTCGGTATTATCCAAAGTGCTCGAGAAGGTTGTGAAAAAAGGTCTGCTATCGTTCTTTGAATCAATGGACGTATTAACGCCAGCGCAACACGGCTTTACGAATGGACAATCCTGCATCACTAACTTGATGTACGCAAACCACCAGTGGGTACGAGCACTCAATGAACAGAAGGATGTTGACGTGGTGTACATCGACTTTAGTAAGGCCTTGGACAGAGTGCACCACGAGGTACTCCTTGGTAAACTGAGGACACACGGAATCGGTGGCACGCTATTTCAGTGGTTATACGAGTTTATTGTGGGACGAAAGTTTAGAGTACAAGTCAATGACTACCTGACAGACTGGTTCCCATTGACTAGTGGCGTGCCTCAAGGAACTGTACTTGGGCCAGTATTATTTCTTATTCATATCAACGATCTTCCGCAACAGCTCCAGTCACCATGTGCCCTGTTTGCAGATGATTTGAAAATCTGGAGGATTATTGAGAACCAGGACGACAGCGCTCGCCTCCAGCATGACTTAGAGCGACTGTCAACATGGTCCACTGAAATGCAACTCCCTCTTAACGCAAGCAAGTCGGAGTTCATCAGTATCACCAGACGTCCAGCCACTCGATCATACACTTTGGACGGCCAGTTGCTCCATCCCAACACATCTGTCAGAGAATTAGCAGTGCTCTTGCGACATGATATGAGATCATTAGCAACTACGGAGATATTGTACCGTGCGGGACTTCGTATGCTCTAAACATTAACACGCAGTTTCTCCACATGGTCCGAAGAAACCGTCCCTCGTCTATTCACCTCGCTCATTGGACCAATCCTTGAATACGGTGGCTTAGTTTACCATCCGATAACCCAATGGGAAACTGAAAAGCTGGAGAACATACAGCATATCGCAACTAAAATGATGCCGAGTCTACAAAAGCTTCCATATGAAAAACGTGAAAGGCT